GTTTTCTCATGCTTTTTTATAATATGATATTATCAGCAGCTTCATAGTTATCCGCATAGAAATTTGTTATGAAGATGTATATAAATTTGTCATCAGCGCAGGCTCATCTCTAAAACTCATAATAGTTTAAACTGGAATTTTTCATTCATTGTCTGAAGCACAAATGATTTATAGATTTCAGTTAATTGCTATTGATGAAGTGCACTGCTGCTCAAAATGGGGACATGATTTCCGACCAGATTTTAAATTTCTAAATGTCTTAAAGCGTCAGTTTCGCGGTGTACCTTTACTTGGTTTAACTGCTACGGCTACTGATGACGTGATCGATGATGTAAGGAACATGCTGGGGATCCCAGGTTTTGTCCAATTTTGATTTTGCTGATGTATTTTAGGAAAAATATTCAGTTTAATAATGATAATTTATTACATTATATAAAATTTGCTGGTAATATTTCGTTTCATTCCTGTTGTCTTTTTCAAATTTTGACTTCTTCAAGCTATTGAGTTTGTATATTCGTACTTTTTCTGTAGAGTTATTATCATTTCAGAAGCTGTTATCTTTCGCGCGGGCTTCAATCGACCTAATTTGCATTATAGTGTGCTACAGAAACCTTTATCGAATGTTGAATTTAAGAATGTGCTAATGAAAATGCTGAAGACTCGATTTGCTAAACTTAGTGGAATTATTTATTGCTTCTCACGAAAAGATTGTGAAGAACTCACGAAGTATTTGCGGTGATTTTTTAATGAATGTGGTTTGCTCTGATGTATAACATTTACAAATTTAGTGGACTTATTTCAATTCTATCTAATGGTATTCGAATTTGATGTGAATTGAGATTTAAAGTAGCATTGGAATCATTATATGAAGAAATGAAAATCATATATTCAAATTCATAGTTAGTTTTATTTTTTTGCAAAATTTTATCCTTCTGTGTTAGAATTGTTTGAAAGTATGCGCACTCCTTGTTACTTATGAAATATATTTTACTTCCATTGTAGTAGCAAAGGTATCAAAGCTGCATATTATCATGCTTTCATGGATAGTCAGCAGAGAAGTTCCACGCATGAAAAGTGGCTAAGTGGAGAAATCAGTATCATTGTTGCTACTGTCGCATTTGGTGAGAATTTTGACTTTTGTTTTCGTCTTATACACTTTCTTGATGCGAACATTTGTCTTATTTATGACTGTTAGGTTCATCTAAATATTATTAAGGTATGGGTATCGACAAGCCTGATGTTCGTTTTGTTATACATCATTCTTTACCGAAATCGTTAGAAAATTACTATCAGGTTTTTCCTTGATATTCA